TCCATGATCTTAGCCTTGGTTTGAAAATGTTCTTAATTTGTAAGCTTGGTTGTTAGCTGTGGAAAAATAATATCCAAATTAAGACCAAATTTAAGAATTTTCTTCATCTAAAATTTTAAGGGAAAACGGTCTTACAGACTGAGACTAGGTGGAATTTGAAGTCTGTTGTGGTGTGCTGAAATGTTCCAGAGCTAATTACAAGAAGGATGAGTGGAACTTGAGATGATTGGATTGATCCTCATCCTCACCTACAAGGCCATTCACGGCCCTGCACCCTCCTACCTCTCCGACCTACTATCCCCCCACTTTCCTGCCCGTACCCTCCGTTTCTCTGGCTCCGGTCTGCTCCACATTAACTGCCCTACCATCGGTGGCCAGGCTTTCAGCCTCCAAGCCCCCAGGCTCTGGAACTCCATCCCCTAGTGCCTTCGCCTTGCCTCATCCCTTTCCTCCTTCAAGGCCGGTCTCAAGACCTTTCTCTTCAACCGTGCCTTCAGCTCTCTTCTCGACTCTCTACCCCCTCCTCGCTCCCTCCCTCCCTTCCCTCCCCTCCTCGCTCCCTCCCTTCCCTCCCCTCACCCTGACCATTTGCCCCCTGCCCGGGTTCCGACCCAACTGTCCAGCGCCTTGGACATCCTCACGACGTGAAAGGCGTCTATAAATGCAATCTTGTTGTTGTTGTTGAATTTGTAATGAAGCCTCCACAAGGTTCTGGGATATCAGATGTGCATGAGGACTATAACTGAACCTCCACATGATAGTGTAATATGAAGATCTGTATCATTGCTTTTTTCATGCAACGTACACAAGTCTAGGTTTGAAGCTCTATAATTTTACATAACTGCTAAGGTGTCCATCAAAGGTAAGGTTTTATGTATTTTTCACGGCTCATTTAATTTTGCGCAAAAGATTGCGAGGGAAAATATAGCTAAATGACATGGGTTGTGGAAAATCCCAGGTATACTGTCATTGATGATTACAAAGGGTCTTTGTGACTATAAGCAGAATCTGTACAGTGATGGATCTACATGAAGTCTTCACATGGATTTTTGGGGAAATGTGTTGCCACATATTTTTCAAAGCTCTGCAATAACATTTAGTAACAACAAACACACTGAATCATGGAACACAAAATGGACATCGAGATCACCTGATGCTGCATACTACAAAATGTTGTCCTGTTGTGGAATTTATGCCGTGCTCGCGAGGAACATCCACGTAGATCTTACTCAAAAGTGTGGGGTAGCGTAGTGGTTAGCGCACTCTCCCCACAAGTGAGAGGACCTGGGTTTGATTCCTGGGCGGGGTGAAACCTTAGGCAAGTTTTCTTACTCCACACGCCTCTGTTTACCTAACAGTAAGTAGGAACCCGTTTGTTAGTCGATTGGCGGATCATTTTCTGAAAATAATAAACGACGCCATAATATCTCAAATGCAAGGTTTATTATTATTATTATTAAAAGACTGTCCAACAAAAATACCTTCAAACTCACATCTCCAATGTTCAAGTGAGTCCTCCTTCCCTCAGGAGGTAGGTAGCAACTACTCCCTCTTGGTGAATGGGTAATGGTGTTGTATGAGGAGTTCATCAGTGTGTAGAAAGAATAAAGTGGAAGGAGAAAGCTGGTGAGAATTCATCTGAAAGGGGAAAGACTGAATCATTACCTACAACAACAACAACAACAAGATTCCATTTATAGAGCACCTTTCACGTCGGGAGGACGTCCCAAAGCGCTGTACAGTAGGGTCAGGACCCGAGCAGGGAGGAAATGGTCAGCACAGATAGAGTGATTTAAGCGGAATTGAGAAGGCATGAGAATAATAATAATAATCCTTGCAGTTGATATAGTGCCTTATCTCGCGATGAAATGTCTCAAAGCAATTCATAGGATATGCTGTAAAGTAAATTGACTGTATTTTATAGGCAAAATGCGGCAACCAGTTGTGCACAGCAGTATCCCACAAACAGTGAATGACCAATTTTATTTGGGGAATTGTTGACCAAGACTTTAGTTTGGAGAGCAAAAGATAATAAAAATGCACAGTGCCCCAACCCGTCAAAGGCTTGAAGTCTTAAAAATATAGGGCAATAAAGTGCCCTATATTTTTAGGATTATCGTCAAAAGTACACTTAAAAATATAGGGAAGATTTGACGAGCTGTGGATTGAATGACTGGGGAAAAATGCTTAGACTTTCACTTTCTTTGATTAAAATTCACAGGCCAAGTTAGACTTGTATAGAGAACCTCCCTGAATTGCTTCATTGCCTCAAGCCGGAATTCCATTAAGTCTTATCCAGTAAATCCTTTTTTAGTCTCAAAAATAAAATCTTAAGAACTGTGGAAAATTCTTAAGGAAGCCAGCTGGTCTGAATTTAAGAATTTTCCACAATTCTGCCTGATCCTTCATTTGAAGATATTACAGGCAATGATTAAAATTACCAATGAGTGGATTTTTAGATGTTTGCACTGATGTGTGTTTTTGCATTAAGTGGAAGATGACCTTGCTGCCCAAGAGGCTCTTTCTTCCATCCGATAATGGATTTAAAGACTTAAGAAGGTTGTACAATTCTATTTGTAATGAAATATTGATTAATAACCATCAGATTGGTGCAGTTTCCCAACAACTGTAATTGTCTTAAATGGGGTTTCCAGTTGAATGGTAGTGGTTGTCTACTTGCATGCAATTAATTGTATCTTCACCATCTTACCCTAGGTTGCTGTTTGATGGTAATATGTCTCTAGTTTATAGTGTTCTCAGAATCCCCTGTGGGGAAAGAGTAGTGGTTCATTACTGCTACACTGTTCATTTTTATACTTTACACTACACTTCATTGCAGTGCTGGGGAGTGCTGCATTGTAAGAGGTGCTGTCCTTCCGATGAGATATTAAACTGAGGTCTGTTCAGGTGGACGTTAAAGGTCCCATGTTGCTTCATGAGAGAAGGGAGCGAAGTATCACACTATAACCGATGTTTGTTTGGTTGTCATCTGGTTTGACCGTGGTTTTTGACGAATGATAGTGGCTGATATCTCATGTCATATGGGATGCACCCCAAATTTACAGTTGCATGCTCAGTATATGGCTGGATGCCAATGTTATATGGTCAATTATTTAATTTCTAGCCAATTACATGATGAAGAAAATAAATTGCTGTCTGATAGCCCTGTCCTAATTCAATATTCATTGAGACTTATTGCTTTATCCTCAATGGGCCCTTTTCATATATCTGTATTTTCTCTTTCTGCTCTCTTCTTCCCCCAATAAATTAAGGGGAGAGCAGAAAAAGGAAAATGGCAGCCCAATAAATTTTTTTAAATTTTAAAGCAATTAAATCCATAATTGATCTTTAGTGTTTATATTCTTTCTGAATTGCTCTGATTTAATCCTCAATGTCTTTCTGAGGTCTTAAATCTTGGTGACAACATTTTGCCACAATCTTTCAGCATTGCATTTTAGATAGGCAGTTTCATTGACCTTAAACTAAATGTAATTGTTGCAAACATTGAGGTTAATAATTATAATAATCCTTGCATTTGATATAGCGCCATATCACGTCATTAAGAAGTCTCAAAGTGCTTTACAGAATATATTGTAAGGTAAATTGACTGTATTTTGTGGGTGAAACGCGGCAGCCAATTGCGCACAGTGGTATCCAATGAACAATCGTGGATTGAGTGACTGCATTTTTGGGGGAGGGATTATTCCCTCTGAAGAGCAATCTGCCAATTGACTAACAACTGGGTTCCTACTTACTGCTTAGTAAAAAACGGTGTGTGGAGACAGGAAACTTGCCTAAGGTTTTGTCCTGCCCGGAAATTGAATCTGGATCCTCTTGCTTGCGAGGAGAGTGCTCTAAATACTACACTACAGGACTCCACAAGTTAGGATGATGAGTGACTTGTGAGAGAACTCACAAGTCATAGTGCTCCCATGATATGGCTGTTTTTGTTCTGAATGTTGGAGGTCAAAGGGCTAGAAGGTGCAGTCAAAACAAGATTCTTGAATTGCTGTAGTTCAAATCTGTGTAAATAGTATACAGTGCGTTGGTGAGCGAGGGAGTGAATCAAATTGCTTCGATCAAACACTCCTTGACTTGAGCCTTGTGGATAGACTGAGGAATTAGGAGACAAGCCACTCTTTGCACAGTTTCTAGCCTGTACAGAAATAGGCTATTTGGCCCATCACGTCTATGCTGAGGTTTTCCACATGAGGCACCCAATCACCCTCTCTCTTGTGGTTCCCATGACCTTTAATGTTGCTTTTTTTTAATCATCCCTCCAATACCCTTTGAATATTTTCTGGACTTTCCTCAAAGAAATATTCTGTGAGAATTCTGCCTGAAAGAGATCAAACTGCCTCTAGTATTTCTGGTTTGCCAATCCTGACCCAAATAGGACAAAACTGGGTATATTCATAACGACTTCTACATCAATGTCTCAAAGTGGAATTACTTTTTTTTAAGGCAAGCACAGCAATTTCCACACAACTGGGGTCTTATATAAAGCCGTAAGGAGAATGACTAATTTTATCTGGAAGATTATTATAATAATCCTTCTATTTGATATATCAAATTTCAGGGTTATTATCCTTACCACATCATTGAGGCATCTCAAATCGCTTCACAAAATTTACTGTAAAGCGAATTGACTATATTTTGTAGGCGAAACCTGTTAGCCAATTGCGTACAGCAGTGTCCCACAAACCATCATGGATTGAATGACCAAATTATTTATTTATTTATTGATTGATTGGAGTGATTATTACACCCGGAAAACGATCCGCCAATCAACTAACAACCGGGTTCCTACTTACTGCTAGGTAAACAGAGGTGCGTGGAGTAAGGAGACTTACCTAAGATTTCGTCCTGCCTGGGAATCAAACCCAGGTCGTCTTGCTTGCAAAGCGAACGTGTTAACCAAACGCTACAGGACTTCCACTTTTTGAATGTCTTTTAATGTCAGCAAAAAGTGTGTAACTTAATTTATTTTTTCCTTTTAGCTTTGCACACCATTAAGCTGACGATCATGGGAGATATGAAAACCCCGGACTTCGATGACCTGCTTGCTGCTTTTGACATTCCAGATATGCAGGTGGATCCCAAAGCAGCAATTGAGTCTGCACATGATGACAATGAAGGGCAGCTAAAAGCAAACATCCCCGCCGACGAGGACGCTCAGGTGCCTTCAGCACCAGATGGGGTAGTAAGTGTGATTGTAAAAAACATCCGGACTCTCGATTCATCCGAAACAGCAACTACAGCAACTGAGAACCCAACTCTGGAGAAGGAAAACAATCACGCCTCTGGCAATGGCTTACACAATGGCTTTCTCAGTGTGTCAACTCTAGATAGGTTCTCCAAGGATTCAGACAACAAGCCCACAAGGTGTGAAGGATCCGCGGGTCCCGAACCCAAACTGGACCTGTCACGGACCGAGAACATTGACGGCCCCGAGACTGGGCTCAAAGACTCTGCGTTTAACCAGTTCAGCCCCATCTCCAGCGCGGAAGAGTTTGAGGACGACGATAAAATTGAAGTCGATGACCCTCCAGACGCCAAAGAGGAGAGCCAGCCAGTTTTCCGAGGAAATGTGCTCCCGGGTCCAGCTCCCGAGAGGGAATGTGAAAAACCAAGGAAACTGGGAGGGGAGAATGCAGCCGCCAAGTTGGAAGTGACTATCCCAGACGCTGAAGATAAGGGTAAGGTATTGAAAAGCAGCAGAGAGAGTGAAAGCCCCCATGTTAATTCAGGAAGTCTCGAGACATTTAAAGGCCGAAATGCGGATGAGAGATTGGGTGACGAGGACAGTGAAAAGAGCTTTAAAAATTCTCCCGAAAAGGAGCTTGAAAATAGAACCCTCGATGGCAAAAGTGGTGAGAAAACCGGAGTGCAGGCCACGAGTTCTTCAAATCTGAGGGCAAAGTCCTCCTCTAAGCTTTCCTCGTGCATTGCAGCCATCGCTGCTCTGAATGCTAAAAAGGCGGCAGCAGATACCAGTAAAGAACCTCAGTCTGTCTCTAGGGGGTCTTCTCCAGTTTTAAAAGAATCTAGAGAAAGCCCTAGAGCCGCTGAAAAATCCCCCGGGGCCCCTCCGAGCCCCTTGGAGGTGGTGAAGAAAGTGGCCAACAAACAACCCGATAGCCCCCGGAGCGTGTCGAGTGAAAGTAGTATGAAAGGTTCCCCTTGCTCCCCGGCAAGCTCACCCCCTGCCATCCCCAAAGTCCGCATCAAGACCATCAAAACATCGTCTGGTGAAATTACCAGAACAGTAACGAGAATTATGCCCGACGTGGAGCAAGAGCTTGGTAGAAGAGGAGCTGAACAGCCAAACTCCATGGTTGTCTCATCACTTTTGTCGTCTTCTCCCGGCGAGTCTGCCTTGTCTTTGTCTCCTACAACACTGATGCAATCGCCGCTCATTACCGCTTCTAGTACAGTAATGTCTCCTGAGGTTACCACAAAACAGGTTACGATTAAACCTGTTGCCACTGCTTTCCTTCCAGTGTCTGCTGTGAAGACGGCAGGATCGCAGGTCATCAATCTGAAGTTTGCAAACAACACTACAGTTAAAGCTACGGTGATCTCTGCCGCCTCTGTTCAGAGCGCCAGCAGTGCCATCCTGAAGGCTGCCAATGCTATGCAGCAGCAAACAGTGGTGGTGCCGGCCTCCAGCTTAGCAAATGCCAAACTTGTACCAAAGACTGTACACCTCGCTAACCTTAACCTTCTGCCTCAGGCAGCAAGTTCTGAACTCCGCCAGGTGCTTTCTAAAACCCAACAGCCCATAAAACAAGCGATAATCGCTGCTTCTTCGATTCAGCCGCCCAAAAAGGTGTCGAGAGTTCAAGTGGTGGCCAATTCTCAGAATACAGTAGTTGAGACGTTCAACAAGGTGCTGAGTAGCGTCAACCCGGTTCCCATCTACACACCCAACCTTAACCCTCCAACCAATGCTAATATCACCATACCACTCCGTGGCTACAAATGCTTGGAATGCGGAGATTCGTTTGCCCTCGAGAAGAGCCTCGCCCAGCATTATGACCGGAGGAGCGTGCGGATTGAAGTGACGTGCAACCACTGCGCAAAAAACTTGGTCTTTTTCAACAAGTGCAGCCTCCTTTCGCACGCGCGCGGGCACAAAGACAAGGGGGTGGTCATGCAGTGCTCCCACCTGATTATGAAGCCCATCCCTGCAGACCAGATGATCGCCCCGCTAACTGCCATTTCCTCCGCCACCACATCTGCGCATGTCTCCATCTCTGCCATTACCACCACGAGTGCTGTTGTTAAAGCCGTGACCAACATTCCCAATGCAGTGATCTCCGCACCTGCCAATGCTCTCGTTTTGCCAGCAATGCCCCTTGATGAGGACCGCTCAAAGCTTTCTAGACACGGCATGAAGTGCTTGGAGTGCAACGAGGTGTGCCTGGACGAGATGTTACTTGCAACGCATTTCCAACATGCCTCAGAGGCAGGAGGGCAGGTAAATAAGTTTCGCTGAGGCAGGTGGGGAATTTGGACTGCATGTAATTGCGTGTAACTGTATATGATACACTAGCTTAATACTGATGCAATTAGATTCTGGTCACCTGAATACTAAATATTCTTCCCTGAAGCACTTGATTGTGTGTGAGTTGAAAGTGGGCTATGACTGGAAAGTGATGAATTGCCCACCAAATCTAGTGGTTGCTGCCCAGTTTGTTAGAGGGATTGCTAAGCAATGTTCAAAACGTGTGAAATCTGAATACTCTTAACTGCTTTGGTGTCCTCAGGCCTGAACTACAAGGTGGGTCATTTATAATAGAGCTTAAAATGTGTCTGTGTTTGCTCTGATTGAGTAGGATTTATTTTCCATTTTAAAATGAATTTTTTGCATTGAATTTTCCTCACAGTAAAAGATGATCTTGCCTAGCACTTATAGTCCTGTTTGTTTGTCACCAGCTATCAAGCAAGCTTTACAGTGCAGATATTCATTCATTTAGTCTGTCACTTCCTTCCTGCTAAATGGATCCACCATTTATAATGCTTTTGGGGGCTTGGAAGTATCCAATATTCTTACACTTAAAATGTCTTAAAATATTGAGAGTGTAGGGAATGTTGGAAAACTCGGTATGAATTTAGAGGTCAATTCTTCTGATAAAAACTGATATTTGAATATTTGGATACAACTGGATGATTGCAATAATTCAGTATTATAAGTAAAGGAGTACTTTGCAAAATCCACAATTTGCAGTAACTGATATATTAATATCGGGCTAATTTTTAAAAATGTTCACTCAATCACGACTGTTTGTGGGTGGGACACTGCTGTGCGTAACTGGCTGCCATATGCTCCCTCTTGGTTACATCATCGTAGACCTGGGGTCAACTTCCACATATATGTAGATGACACCTAACTGTATCTCTCTGCCTCTACCCTTGACTCCAGGACCACTGCTGTCCAGACAGAATGTCTTGTCAGACATCAAGTCCTGGATGAGAGCTAACTTTCTTCAGTTGAACGTCAACAAGACCGAGGCTCTCCTGATTGGTGCCCGTCAGCGCCTCCTCACCTCAAGCGCTGACATCATCACCATCATGGTTGCACATTCCATCTCACTAAGCCAGTCCGGAACCTTAGTGTCTTGTTTGACCCTCAACTATCCTTTCTACCCCACATCTGTGCCATGACCTGTTCTGCCTTCCCCCACCTCTGCAATATTGCCCGGCTCCACTACTCTCTCACACCGCAGGCCGCCGAAACCTTCATACACGCATTCATAACATCCAGGCTTGACTATGCAATCTTCCTGCTTGTCGGCCTCCCCAAATCCTCTCTTTGGTGTCCTCAGGCAGATCATCCAGAACCCTGCAGCCCGTGTCCTCTCTCGCACCAGGCTCCGTGACCCTATCGCTCCCACCCTCGCCTGACTGCCAACGGCTTCCCGTTCAAGACCCTGGTCCTCACCTTCAAAGCCCTCCATGGGCTCGCTCCCTCCTACTTCTGCGACAACAACAACAACTTGGATTTATATAGCACCCTCCACGCCGGACGGCGTCTCAGAGCGCTTCACAGTAACGGATCCCAGGGCCGAGCCAGGGGGATGGGGAGGAAGGTGACTAAAGGCTACCTCCTAACCCCTACCAACCTGCCTGTTTCCTCCGCTCAGCCTGCTCAACCTGCTTCATGTCCCCCGCCTCGCCCACCCTACCGTTGGTGGGCGGTCCTTCTGCCACTCTGCCCCACCCTCTGGAACTCCATCCCGCAGTCCCACCGCCTTGCCCCCTCCCTTGCCTTCTTCAAGACCCTGCTCTTCAATTGTGCTTTCGATCACCCTCCTTCCCCCCACTGCCCTCCACCCTCCCCAATCCCGAGCCCCAGCTCGAGTCCAAAACATTGACTGTTCCTCGCCTTGGGATGTCCTCCTGACGTGAAAGGCGCTAAACAAATGTAATTTTGTTGTTGGCATACTTCGCCCCCAAAATACACTATCAATCCACTTTACAATGTGAAGGGCTTTGAGAAGTCTCAGTAACGTGATAAGGCGCTTTATTTGGTTAGAAGATTAATGGGTTGTTATGCAATCAGTGCAAGTGGACTTCCAACGACGATTCACCAATTAATACTTGGGATGAGGTAATTTAACTATAGAGGCTGGGTAGGTTTGGTTATATCACTCGTAGCTGAAGAGGTAATTCTATTGAACTGTACAAAAAGAATGAAGGAAACTTGCAAGTTAGTTAGTAGATGAGTCATTCCTTTGGAAGAGGGATCCAAATTAGTGGACATGAACTTCGCATTCGAGTTAAAACAGAAATGAAATCAGAAAACATTTTTTTCAGACGGAGGGCTTTGAAAATACAGAAGCACAGGCCCAGAGGTCTGTAGAAGTGGAATCAATTGGGATGTATAAAAGGTCGTTAGGTACTTGGGAAGTAAGGGTTTTAATGGTGTATAGACAAAATGGGAGTGCTGTAGGAGCTAATAAATTGGTGATGGGTTAATGGCCTACTCTTGTTCCTAAGAGCGTCACACTGGGGAGCTGGGATTGTGACCAACTGGCTAAAACCTTCATCACTAAGATAAACTAATAAATTGTCAAGGAATTTAGGAGCTTAAATCTAAAATCTGTTTGAAATCGGTAATAGGAGAAGCAACCGTATACTGCAGCAGCAACAACTTGCATTTATATAATGCCTTTCACGTGGGGTAGCATCTCGGAGCACTTAACAGTGGCGGAGCCTGATGCTGAGCTGGGGGGAGAGAGAAGGTGACCGTAATCGTAGTTGGAAGAGCAAGGTCTTCAGTCTGACTTCCAAATTGCTGGAGGAGTTTTTCAGAGATGGGCTCCAAATTGAATCCAGACCGGCAAAACTATTAATTCTACACTTTTTCCATTGATTCAATGTAGAAAGCGCATCAAATCGATGCTAACTGTGTAGTACAAAGGAGCCATTAGTTTTCAACTGTTCTGTTTAGTGAACCATAAGGCCAGCAGACCAGGCCTATTGAAATTGTATAGCATTTTTCAGTCTATTAAGTTTTTCTGAATTATCACCACTGGACAACAGGCTTTTTGCAAATCTGCAGGTTCTGACGTTCACGTGTTACAAACTAGTTGTTTTCAGGCAGGAAACTGTAGTGTTGCCGTTCGGAATCAGGGGAGCCAGCAGAGCTTGAATACTGCACATTTAAAGAATGTGACCCATTTCCATAATAAATGGCTAATAAATTCTATCAGTGAATCAATAACAAGAGGGCACAAATTTAAAATAATCACACAAATAATTAAAGGGAAATTCTGTGCAGGATTTGTTACGCAGAGGCTGGTTGGCATATTTAATTCTCTGCCTCTGTTGAAGCAGAGTCCTTAGATTATTTCAAAAGAGGATTATATTAAAAAATAATTGAATGAGGAGGTACATTTGCACAGTATTTTCATTCTATTAAACCTTTTGTAACAGCAGTACTTTCAGCCATGATGCCCCAAATCTCTGCAACTCCTTGCCTCAACCCCTCCATATTGCCCCTTGTTTGTTCATCATCAAATCACACCCGAAGACTTTCCTCTTTGACCGTACCTTTGGTCACCTCTCCTCCCTTTCCAGCTCGGCGTCAAACCACATCGCTGTTAAATGCTCCAAAATGCTATTTGTGTGTAGGCCGCTATATAAATGCAAGTTGTTGTTATAGTACAATGCTAAATAGTAAATATCCTACAAAATACATTCATGACACTTTACAGTAATTCTGTGAAGCGCTTTGAGATAACAATAACAACTTTCAAAAGGGAATTAGATAGATACTTGAAAAGGAAAAATTTGCAGGGATATGGGGAAAGAGCGGGGGAGTGGGACTGGTTGGGTAGCTCTTCCAAAGAGCCGGCACAGGCACCTTGGGCCAAATGGCCTCCTTCTATGCTGTAATATTCTATGATATAGCCCGACATTAAAAAAAAGCTATATCAACTGTAAGAATTATTATTAATAATGAATATTTGAAAGAGAATGGTTTCCGGTGGCCAGCATTTTCCTCCAAAGAAGTTGTACTTTCACTTTGCAGTTGTTCGAACAACACATACTGTAAGCAAATTGGCTGTCTCTGCCGACAAATATTCAGTTGTGACATTTAATTGAAAAGTTGTGAGACAGCTTAACATTATAGGTTCTATAACAAATGCAAGGATTATTTAATATTAAGAGAGTGGTGGAGTGAGCAGGAGCGGGGGATTAGCTCAAGTGGCTTATATTGGAGGAAAACGTCAACCTAGATTTGATTTTGTGCTGTAACATTCTGTAATTTCAGTGAGATGCTACTTAAATTCACATTTTCGATTGCTTCTAACCACACATCGGGAGGCTTGTGTTGGATTGAATCAGTCTGGGACACTGGCTATTTCCTAATTGGTCTGATCATTTGCCAAGGAAGTATGAAGGAAGAAGGATGAGCTTCATGACCTAACGTTCATTAGGCGGTAATTAGCTCATTATCTCATGAGGCTTTTTTGAATAAAATCTTTTTTTTAAAAGGATTATAGCTAGGTGACAAATGATTATGAGAACTAATATCTTTCAGTTCGGCTGACCGACTAATAGCCAGGTTCACACAGTGGTTTATCACTTTATTAGAAATTTACATCATAGAAAGATGATGTAAAAATGATGCCTTCTGGTCTATTCCACTCCTCCACTATTCTCTTGTGTATATAGTGGCCTCAGAATCCCTAGAATTATATGTTGCATTCTTCAGGTTTCCAAAGGATTGAAATCAAGATCCTTTTTCTTCAAAACCTTTTACAATCTTGCCCTGTTCTACCTCTGAAACCCACTCCTGCCCCAATCTGCTATTGGTCCACTATGCCTTACTTTCTCTGTGCTACCATCAGCACTATGCCCTCCCTTTCTTTGGAATTCTCCTAAATCTCTTTGCCTTTCACCTTCTCTTCCTGCCTTCAAAACCTTCTTAAAAGCATCTCTTTCAATGTGGTTAGTATTGTCAAACTGCCCCCCGTTTTCCTCCCTGCTCAAAATGATCCCTATTGTTATGAATCATTTTGAGGCGTTCTGCGTGAAAGAGTCTATAAAAGTGCAAGTTTGCATTGCTTTTTAAAATAAAAGATCTTTGAAATATTGTGAATCGGTCCAAAGAGGCGCCAGCACAAGATAACGGTGATGAAACTACATGTATCACTCCTTCTGTCTGACTCTCCAACCTTATCACACCCCATTCCTCTACCCAATCACTTCCTGTGTGTCCCTTGACCCATGTGGTCCTCCATCGGCGTCTGTGGTTTTAGCCACAGCCTCTGGAGCTTCCTACCTCAATCCCTTAGCCTTGCCGCACCTTTGCCAGCCTTCAGTTCACACCTGAAGACTTTCCACTTCAGCTGTGCTCGAGGTTGCCTTACCTTTCTCCCAGGTTTGGAGTCAAACTCAATTTTGAGTGCTCCACATGAAGGGCTCTATAAATGCAAGTTGTTGTTACTTATCCCATGCTTCTGCAGAAATATTATCTGGAACCAGACTGAGAGTTCCTCATATCCATGTCACCTATGTAGAGACATTTATAATAATAATAATAATCCTTGCATTTGATATAGCGTTTTTCATGTCTTCTCAACGTCTCAAAGCGCTTCACAGAATATGGTGTAAAGTGAATTGACCGTTTACTTGTGGGCGAAACGCGGCAGCCAATTGCTCACAGCAGTTGTCCCACAAACAGTCGTGGATTGAAAATGACCAATTTATTATTGTTTTATTTTGGAGGAATTATTATTAGGCGTGTGGAGTAAAGAAATTTGCCCAAGATTTCGCCCTGCCTGGAATTTAACCCAGGTGTCTCGCTTGCAAGGCGAGTGCTCTAACCACTGAGCTGAGCTCCAGGACTCCAATGAGATGGGAGGGGAGAGATGCAGTCAGAGACAAGAACTTTGGAAATGTTGAATCTGGAGGTGGCAGAGGCAGTGGTGAAGCTTTGGGCTCTGTTGAGGGTGAGATAGTGGCGGAGTCAGACAATATTGCAAAGTATGAGAAAGCAGACTTTGTGGGTAGAGAGTCGAACATTAGTTCGTGAAGTGGAGGCTTGGATTCTTGCACAGCAAATGTTATTTAATACCTGTCAATTTAGGGAAAACTGAACAATGAAGTAAAAATAAAGATATTAAGCAATAAATTCTCCAAAGATTTTATAAGAAGCGAGCAAATGTTTTTCTGCAAAACACAAAATACTGCAGATGCTGAAAATCTGAACCAAAAAAGAATTGCAGTTCTGACGAAGGGTCGTGGACCGAAACGTTGACTTACTTTCCTTTCTCCATAGATACTGCCTGGCCTCGATCTGGGCTCTTGCTTGAAATACAAGACGTGTGTGACCCAGAATTGCGCATTCCAGTCCCCCTATGCCAATTTTTTTTTCTAATCTCGCCTTTAATTTTAACCTCACTTTTAATCCTTTTATGATCATCTTAAATGTCGTCCGTCGTCCGACCTAATATGTATTTGTCAAAGGAGAAGACCAGGATAACTTTGCGCTTGTATTTTATCAGCCACAAAATAGACATGTGCTTTGCTTGGCAGAGAGATGTTTTTAGGCTAAGGATGGATAGCTGGATACAATACAATTTACACAATGTACTCAAGGGTCTTGTCTTGTTCCTTGCATCTTCTTAAGTGAAAGATAAGCAGCATAACAAGGATTTTAAACGTTAAGAGTTAAAAGGGGATCCAATTTAAGAGGAGCAAGCTCAATAGGCCGATAGCCTTCTTCTGTTGCCATGTGCTTAAGTGTTCAGTTCCAATCTGTTCTGCCATGTACAAACCTGAGGGTATGATGGTGCTACAGCTTGTCTCTGTAAGTTACGCTTTATGCTAATTTGCTGTAGATAATTGGGAATCAGTGAGTTTATGAGGTGTTAAACATTTATTAGCTGAATTGCTGCCTTTGGGCTTATTAGTGCACAGAAATCATCAAGTGCCAAGCACCCCACAGGATGCCAGACTTTATTGCTGTGATGTTCCATCTTTCAGAGCTTTAATTCAAAACGGGTTTGACAAATCGCTACCTGGAGTTTTCTCAGAATACCAGCTCCATTCTTTTTTGGGAGTCATGCCACCAGGCACTCTGTAGTGTGCATTGAGACGACGGGGCACCTTTTCACTTGCGAGGATGTCCTGTGGTCAGCTGGTGATTCGATATACTGTTAGGCTATCGTTTATGCTATGCCCTTCTACCGTTGTACATCTTTTGATGTACTGCAAATCAGGTCATTGAGCAGTGACCTCCCTTTTGGCCACTACGGACTAAGATTTCTGGAGAGATAGGTATGTGGGTTCAAGTCCCACCCTTGGACTTGAGCTCATAGTATGGGATGATTCCATTTATACCATTGAACAATGGCGGAGTTTGGTGCCAAACAGTACTGCACTGCTGGAGGGTCCGTATTTCAGATGAGATGATAAGCTGAGATCCTGTCTCTTTAAAGGTTTCATGGTACTACTCAATAGAGAGAGGAAGTCTCCCGTCTTCTGGCCAACAGTCCTCCGAATACATTAGTCATTCACCTCATAGCTATTGTGGAACTTTGTTGTAAACAGATGCCAAGGTTGCTTGCTAATGCTTTGATAGTTATTACTCGAGAAGAGTTTCAGCTTCAAGAGTTTGATGTGAAAAGATAGTATAAAAATGCAAAATATAAAACAAATTATATAAATTGAGATGCACTATATAAAGGTACGGGTTGGACAAAATGTGCCTAATCATATGACTTTAAACTTTGCTGCCAATTGTCAGCTGCAGCTATGTACTTTAGGAGCGGGGAAATGATTCAGAAACTTTAGAACACTTACATTGTTATATAAAAATATATTTAGCAAACATTAAATACTGCACGGCTTTTTTGCATTTTTATAATGCCTTGAAACATCTAAAATACACCACAGAAATTACGGTCAACTGTAGTAGCTATGTTTGTAGGCAGATGTAGCCGTTGTCTTTCCCAAAACAAAGTCCCATAAACAGCCATGAGGTGAGTGACCAATTCAGCTTGAGGTTGGCCAAATCACTGGGTGAAAGGCCATTGTTAGTTGGAGGAATTAACTCCACATGTGTGTAGGACAATCTAACATTGACTCTAGCATGATATAGAGACTGCTTGACGAAGATCTTGGACCTCTGTATGGGGTAGGGGAGCTCAGGAATACAACATATCGACATAGGTCAACATATGCAGTTAAAACTACAATCTGATGGCAATAATTTTTTGGTTTGGTGACGCTGTAGTGCATGATAGTTATTTATAGTTTTTGTGTTCTGGTTTCTGCAATACAGACATGCCAGATCTGTCAGATGCTGCTTCCCAACAAGTGCAGCTTCACATCACACGTACGAATACATCAGCACAAATCTCCGTACACATGCCCAGAATGTGGAGCCATCTGCAGGTCCTCGCACTTTCAGACTCACATTACCAGAAACTGCCTACACTACACACGCAAAGTGGGATACCGGTGAGTCTCGCGCTTGTGTTCCTCAAAGAACCAGGTATTTACTTAAGCTCATTTCCTTCAAATGCTCCACAGCTGTGTCCACCCTACTCCTGTGATCTCCTGCATCCCTACTCTTCCAGCTGCTCCCTCTGCTCGATTAACTAGCCTATCTCATGCCACTCACTCAACCATTCCATCCCACCACCATCAGCAAGTGAGCTTTCAGCCACTTCTCACCGCTCTTCTCAAATCCCCCTGCCATGCCCTCTCCCTATCAGCTCATTTGTGTGATTTCCCCTGAACCTTGGCTTTTGTGTAAACATTTCCAGCTTCTGTAGCCTTTCCTCATACCTTGGATGTCCGTAAAGATGTTTTTCCTTTAAGAAAATGAGGCCGAAGTTATGTTGATATCCCTTGATAGATTTGAGAGTTAAAAGCGTTTCTCCAAAATCTGTATCATTAAATAAGCCTGAGAAGAAGTATTGTGTTCTATCACTAATTTCAGGTGGGAATGGCTGTATAGCTTTTGTGAGTTTTTTTTTCTTTGTGTTTTGATAACTGAAAATTTTCCTCTCTTTTCAAACCCCAAGTTGTAATTGCTAGTTTTAAGTTTCTTTAATACTGTGGGTATTTGTATTTTAATTTGTGTTTATTATGTTTCAAAAGAGCAGCGGAGAATTTATTTTTTGGGGGCATGGGGAGTGGTAGTCAACTTTCTTTTTATAGTATATCCTGTGAAGCACTTTGAGACGTCCCTTGATGAGGCGCTAATCAAATGCAAGGAATATTATTACAGTTCTGTGAATGCATATCAGGGCAGTTTGCATAATTTATTCTAGTTATCGGAAATTCACCTTGCCACAGTAGCTGCTGATCCCAGAGCTGATGTGCTCTTTCTAAGCTATAAAGCACAGCACATGAACAGTCCAAAGGCTGAGGCAAAACCTATTAGGTAGTATAATAATTGAATGTGTGTTCAGACAATCCCAGCTTCCTTGTTGTTTGCAGACAACAAAGAGGCAGGAAATTAGCCAGCAGGCAGGAAATTAACCATGCTTGTAAAAGGAATATATTTTGCTTTTATTTACCTCCGGAAAATAAATGGGGGAAAATCTGCCCCGTAAAAAGCTTAATTGGTTGGGGTTCCTGGGTAACTGGATTAGCCCATGCAAGGAGTCCCGTAGCATAGTGGTTGACGCACTCACCTCGCAAACAAGAGGGACTGGGTTTGATTCCTGGGCGGGATGAGACCCTAGGCTAGTTTCCTTATAACGCACCTGGGTTTACCTAGCTGTAAGTAGGAACCCAGTTGTTAGTCAATTTCGCGGATCACTTTCTTAGCGTAATAATCCCTCCAAAATAAAAATAAAATATTGGTCACTCATTTCACGACTGGGACACTACTGTGCGCAATTGGGCTGCGATGTTGCACCCACAAGTACTCAAGTTAATCCATTTGCAATATATTATGTGAATCTCTTTGAGACGTCTCAACTACGTGATAAAGCGCTGTATCAAATGCATGGATTATTATTATTTGAAAAGTCTAGGATTTTTTTTACGAATACTTGAATTCTTAACCTCTGTTAAATAGCTGAAGGTATCCTGGCTCAGTAAGTCGCACTCTTGACTCTAGGTCAGAGGGATAGTTTAATGACCTGGAAGTTGGTTAATTGTACTATTCTGTTTGGGGATTTTGAGGTTGCTATCTAGGCTGATGGTCCAATGAAATGCTAAGTTTGGGTCCCATAGCACTGTTACAAAAATAATATTGTTTGAAAGGAAAAGGAATTTCGCCAGGTTTCCAAGCCAAGAAACCCCAAATTAATTGTCGCTGCATTTGAGACCTTGCTGTGTGCAAATTGACTGTCATGTTACCTAAAACGTATCTTCCTTCACTTGATCATATAGGAGAATTTCACGGTGAGAAAGTAACTTTCAACTTGACTGCAGCATTTTCTGGCTTTCATCTGCTGTTTGCTCTGACATCTGTACTGATTTTCCTCCTGCAGTTGTATACATTGTGGTGTTATCTACGCTGACCTGGCTGCCCTCAAATCTCACATCCAGGGGGCACACTGTGAAATCTTCTACAAATGTCCGATCTGCCCCATGGCTTTCAAATCAGCACCGAGTACTCATTCACACGCCTACACCCAGCACCCAGGCATCAAGATAGGAGAAGCTAAGTGAGTAAAATGAGATTGATATTTAATGTCCTGAAAGTTATGAAAATGTTTGTGCTTATTAAGTTGAAAATGCATTCCTACTAGGCAAAATGTTGCTTCTCTGCTCTGCCTAGCGGAGTCTAATCTGCGATATTTCTTGAGGGGACTCCTTAATTAAAAATCTCATTAGGATCCTCATCGACGGGCAAGAATAGCTTGTTTGCACAACTCTCTTTCTAAGGAATCTTTCTAAGGAATCCTGTAAGGAAATACAGTGCAATCCCAATGTAACGTGCTTCTTTATAACATGAATTCAGTTATAATACAGTTGCAGTGTGCACCCCATTCACTGCATATGCTCATACAATACAAAATTACATTTGTATAGCGCCTTTCACGTCGGGAAGATGTCCCAAGGTGCTCATAGCCAATTTGCTCACTTCCCACTCACATGCAACTGGCTTTTGTGCCCAAATGACCAACTTCCAGGTCATTAAACTACCCCAAGGTCATTTCTTGCTGCTGCGCACAGGAAGCACTGTTGGCAAAGATCTGGTGAACCAGGTCATTCATTTTAGCTTCCAACATTTTTAAACAATGACCAGTTTTGGAGTCAGCAAATTGCTGCCAACATCACTTCCTGCTTTTAGCATGTATCAGATTAAATAGAAATGGACTGAGTGTTTTGTAGGCAATTGCACCAGTAACATCCTACAAACAACGAGATGAATGACCAATTCTTTTTTTGGGGGGGGGGTGTGGGATTTTTGATGAGAAGGGGAAAATATTTTATTTCTTTGAAATGATGGTGTCTGCCTTCTTCACATCAAACTGAACCAGAAGGCAGATGTGTCTAAGGTTAATGACTCCATCAAAAAGGGAATCATGATGCGGAAATAAAATGATAAACTTGAGTTTAATATGGAATTTTGTGATTGGGGCAAACGTGGCAGCCAGTCTGCACCAGCAAAGTTCCTAAACGATGAGTAAATGTGAATTTTTGCTGCAGTATAAGATCACAGTGACTGTTTTACCCGCCTCTCCCCATTACGTCTATTCAGTCTTAATTGAAATGTCAAAGCTGCATGACAGAAAGAGTACCTGTATTGCCCAGAGCTTTGGAACTGCCTGTGAGTTGGCAGAGTGAAATAATTAGAGCCATTTGTACTCCTGACATTTCCAAGCGACTTGTTTGCTCATAATTTCGTTTGATGCAGTTTATTATGATTCCAAAGAATTTTCTGCCTTTATGTTTCATCTGGGCTCAGCGTTGGGCTGCAAGGCGCTGACAATTCTCTGTGTCACCGGAGGGACTGGGTTGCGGCGGAGTCAAAAGACTGAATCGAGGCTAGAAATCAAGAGCTGAGCTTTTTGACACTTGCTTCAATGTTATTACTTGAGTGAAGAGTGAATGATAGTGAGAGCGGAAAGCTGCTGTTTGGCTGGTTTTCTCCACTGAGAAGCTTTTTGTGTTCAATGTCTACTTTCCTTGGCAAACAAGAGTTTGACACCTTATTTCCTTAAACCCAAAACACCGTTTGATAATCATCTTTCTGAAATACATCCACCTTATGGGAAAGGCACTATATAAATATCTTTCCGAATGTTAAATGCTTCAACTCAAAAATTGGAATCCATTTCAAAATGATGAGAAGCAGCAGTTCCTTAGAAGAGATGAACATGTTGGAAAGTCCAAATAAAAGCAGGAAAATGCTGGGAACCCAGAGAAGCTCAATCAACCTCTGAGAGAACGATCAGTCAATGTTTCAGGTGTGATCAGAAATGGATTGAGATGGGAAATCTTATTTATAGAATACAGGAAGAATTAGGTAACTTTGTGTCTAAAGTTCCCAAATTTTCCTCTGCATTGTAGGCTAATATATACAGGATTAACTGCTATCAACATTTCCATTATTGTAACAATTGACTAGGCAGACTAGATGGACCTTGGCCTTTTTTTGTCTTGCAATTCCTATGTTCCTATGTTCCTATGAAGGTAAGTATGACCAACCAAGAAATGGTCATTTGTGTCTAATGCAAAAATTGCTAAAAATTGATTTTTTCCACTAAATCTTTATAATGGGAAGTGCTATTACACCGACTTAGTGTAAAAGATTGCAAGTTTTAGACAGTAGGTTATGTTAAATCTCAACCTTAGCAGACACAAAATGGCAGCTAATATGAGCTAGATCTTAGCTTGTTTCAATTGTTTCACTCTCGCCTCCGAGTCAAATGATTGTAGGTTCATACCACACATTTGGCCTTGGATGTCACAGCCTAGGCTGGCACTCCAGTGCAATACTGAAGGATCAATGCCGTGACAATAAGATGAGACAATAAACTCCTATCATATTATTGATCCCATGGAACTAATTGTCAAGCGAGTCCTGTAGCTCAGTGGTTGAGCACTTGCCTCGAAAGCGAGAGGACCTGAGTTTGATTCCTAGCAGGACGAAACCTAGGGCAAGTTTCCTTACTCCACATGCCTCTGTTCACCTAGCAGTAAATATGAACCCAGTTGTTATTCAATTGGCGGATCGCTTTTCCGGGGGTAATAATCCTTCTAATTTTTTTAAAAATAATAAAAATTTGGTCACTCAGTCCACGACTGTTTGTGGGATACTGCTGTACGCAATTGGCTGCTGTGTTTCTCCCACAAAATATAATCAATTCACTTTACAGTATATTCTGTGAAGAGCTTTGAGCTGCCTTGAAGAGGTGATAAGGCGCTATTATTATTATCATTGTTTGTGCAAGAGACCCTGCTGTAGACAAATGACTGCTGTGTTTGCCTTCAAAAACAATCACTCCATTTGACAGGAATTACCGAAAAGCACTTCAGATGGTTTGACCACTATAAATTGCTGCTTCCTAGAATATTTTTGAAGTTCAAAGAAAAGGACGGTTACAAATGGCAGCTTTAAATGAATAACAATAAAATAGTGCTCAATTTGTGTTTATTTTATTTTCAGAATAATCTATAAATGCTCTATGTGTGACACTGTATTTACGCAGCAAACTCTGCTGTACAGCCACTTTGATCAGCACGTTGCTAAACAGAAGGTGTCTGTCTTCAAGTGCCCGGACTGTGCATTACTGTATGCACAGAAACAGCTCATGGTAGAACACATTAAGGTAAGCTCCAGCTCCCTTTATATTGTTGCGTTGTTTGAAATAAGTTGAAGAAAAAAGTTTTATTTCATATAAAAATAAAATCAGTGGAACAAAGCTCCATAGCAGGGCGCAGGTTTGTATCTACAATTTCATCTTCTTAAGCCCCTTGAGACGACCTCCCATCTGAAAGGCGCTACGTACATCTCAAATTGTTGCTGTTGCCCCACGCATTGAATTTTTGATTTTGTTTGTCTTGTTTGGGTTAAAACGGGAAGAAGATTGAAATCAGAAGGCAATTGACTCACATTAGGATCTCTCATACAGGGCTCCAGTGGGAACAGATCTCGACCCTGCTGACCCAGCTTTGGGATTGCCATCCTTTGGATGAGGCACTAACTGAATCAGCTTGTTTGTTAGGCAGATCTTATAAAGATCCAATGACACTATTCATAATGAAGTGTCCTGGCCAAGTGGGGTCACAGAGGCTAAAGAATGGGGAGAAGTAAATGGAAAGCAAATACTCCAGCATGACTTCCCTGGTGCTTTAAAGTACATCCCTAGTTTTTGTCTCATTTTTAGATGCAACCTGAAAGCTTTTCAAACATACATTTTTAATTGCCTCCATTGGGTAAAGCCATTCTCAGATTGAAATCCTCCTGTGTTTTTAATGTTTGAGTAAACTGGGTCATTCATTTTACCTTTACGTTCTGAAATAAAAGCAGGTTTTTCAATGTTAAGGAAAACTAACTTCAAAAAACATTTGCTTCTTAACTTTGTTCCCAATTACCACAGGGAAAGTTGTGAGCTGACTCTGACCATCTACCTGTGTGGGTGTGTGTGTCTCTCTCTCTCATCTTACAGTCTATGCATGGTACACTCAAGAGCATTGAAGGACCTCCTAACTTAAAGCCTTTGGTCGTGAAGGCTGTAGCCACAACAATGGGACAGAATAAAGCAGATGGAAACGGCATCAATGGGACTGACTGGCTGGGAAAGAAAACCGCGGTAGTGGTGAGGAAAACTGGGAGCCGATCCAAAGCGAACAACCCTGGCTGGATGTGCAGGGATTGTGAGGAATGGTTCCCTGAGCGAGAGGACTATATTTCTCACATGAAGAAGGACCATGGAAAGGTAAAAGAGCAAGTGGTGGTGGACAGTACCTACTTTATATGTCAACTAGTGGTACAGTGGTTCAGTTGGTACCACCCCCACAGACTATTTAGATCAGGAGGATGTTGGTTCAAATCTTACGTCAGTACTTGAACTCATAGTCTTAAGATGACAATCAAGTGCATTACTGAGGGTGGTGTGTGGGAGGTGGGGAGTGAGTGATGCATCGTCAGAATTGCCATCCATTAGATAAGGCATTAAACTGAATTTGCTGGTTTGTCAGGCGGATTTTATAAAAATCCAATGAAACTATGTGTAAAGAAGCGTCCTGGCCAACAATCCTGCAGATTATTGTCAATTGCCTCTTGGCTGTCTTGGGGACTTTCGTCTGCACATAGTGGATTCTGCATTTGCCTACAAAAATAGTGAACACTTGACTGTAGTCGCTGTAAAGCTTTTGAGTTGTGATCAACGTGATAAGGTGATATAAAAATGCTAGTTCATTCTTGTCACACATAATCGTTACAACTAGATTCCAAGAGTTGAATGATAGTATGGGCTTGGTAAACTAAAGGGGTTTGGGTAACTGAGCCAGCACTGACATGATTAGCTGAATGGCCTTCTCTGAGCTATACATTTCTATGATTCTGTTATGCAGTCTTTGGTAATGATTTAAAAAAATGTAGAAATCCTTATTAGTGTTTTGAGATCAGTGTTGTTGATTGAGGATCTTAATGTCAGTTCAGCACATGATTTACATTGATGACGCTGAGTGTGGTTTTGAATTAATTTATCCTGGATGTGATTATTCTCCCTCACATCAGCCATATGTGGGAATTAGCTTCAGTGAGCTCTTATTGAACGTTGTGTTGTGGAGAGTGTTTTTTTGTATATCTAGAATTAATGAGCTTTTATATCTGAAGTTGGGATAGCTGAGTGATATAGTTCACTTACGAATATCAATACAGCGGATTAAAGATCATGATTACATTGTTTGAGAACAGTTTTGTTGATCGTAGAGATTAATGTCATTTCAGCAAATGATTTATTTACATTGGAGGTGCTGAGTGTGATTTTGTGTTTTTTTTTATCCTGGGTGTGATTATTCTTGCTCGTATCAGTCACATGTGAGAATTAGCTTCAGTGAACTTACCAATTAATGGAAAATCTGTATGAAAGGTGTTGAATGAATGAGATTCATAGTTTATGTGACCTGCTAACCCCTTACCGACCTGTCCTGTCCCGCCGCTCTGGGCTCCGCCCTACTCCACGTCCCCCACCCTGCCCACCCCACCAATGGTAGTTGGGCCTTCAGCCTTTCTGTACTCACTCTTTGGAACTCCATCCCAGTCCCTTCACCTTTTCCCCCTTCCTTGCCCCCTTCAAGGCCCATCTGAAGGCCCTTCTCTTCAACTGTGCCGTTGGTCACTCTCCGAGCCCCACCCTCACTGCCCTTCTGATCCCAATTCCCAGCTCGGGTGTGAATCCTCAACTGTCCAGCCCCTTGTGACGTCCTCTCAATGTGAAAGGCGCTATACAAGGGAAATGGAGTGAATATGTATTTGCAGGAAAATGTGGCAGCCAATGGCGGGCAGCAATGTCCCAGAAACATCCATGAAACAAATGACCAATCTTAGCTGGGAGATCGTTGGCCAGAACAACAGGAGAAACTCTCTTCTCTTTTCGAATAGTGCCATGGGATCTTTAATGTCCACCCAATCAGGCAGATGGGGCATTGGTTTAAAATCTCATCCAAAAGACAGATGTGATAACATTCAAAAGGGAATTAGATTACTTTACAGTATGAAGCTCTTTCGTAAGTTACACCAGTAACCTAGCCTCAAGTATGGCAACCCTCTCCAGCTGTTGTTTACTTGCAATGTAAATAAATACTTGCTGTTGTCTAGTCTAAATTTTCCCTTCACAACTCTGAATCCATGGTCTCCTCATTACATGCCTTTGAGTGGCTCAATAAAAATACTGCTTGCAAGATGCTGAAAACTTGTAAGAACCCGGTTATGTGGCCTGTGGATCCAACATTTGTTTTTTTCAACTCGCTGAACAAATATCAGTCTTTGGCAGAATTAACATTTGTGAATGGTTGTACTCAGCAAATCATTGACTTCTGTCTGCTTCAACTTATAAAATTCCTGAGGATATCCTAGAGAATGACTCCCTGTACTAAAATAATTGGATTCAAATGACCTTGCCATTTGTATCAGACTAATAGAGCATTTCCCAAGTGTGTGTGATAATAGATCCTTGCATTTGTTGTAGAACCTTATCACATCATCCAAACATCTCAGTAAACAGTAAAGTGCAGTGAGTGCATTTGTAGGCCAATACAATCTATTTACATTTATATAGAATTCACATCCTCACGTCAGGAGGACGCCTCAAAGTATTTCCCACTGCTGGCTGGGCACCCGAGACAGGGTGAGGGTGACAGCTGAAGGGGAAGTAATGGGGAAAGATGATTGAAAACGTCGATTAAAATCTCGAATGATCTCTTCTTTCCCATGCTATTCACATTACTATTGTGAATATTAGTGTAGGTGAGAATCATGCTGTGAAAACAAGCTAAAAGAAACTACAACAACCTATAGCATCTCAATGTATATTTAATTTTAGAACTGGTAACAGATTTCTTTTCCCATTGAATATCCAGTAAAGGGTAAATGCCACACTATTCACTTTCAAATCCTAATATATCAGGATTAATTTGCCATATTATATTTCTATACCTGGAACACACCAGTCCTCTTGGTTATTAATGAGTGGCTTTAAAGCTCCTATTGGCCAACATTGTAAAGGTTTATTTGCAGCAAATTTATTTGCAGCTCATCAATCCTTCAGTTGTATTGATTCACCTGAAATTAATATAATATCAATCTATCAGCAAGTGTGGAGGTGTATTTTGATGCTGTCTATTCAGAGTGAGATCACTGAGGACATTTGTTTGGACAGTAACACACAAGATGCCCAGCATTGCTTCATGGCCTGTGCAATAGTTTACTCGACTTGACAAATGGTGACATTCTGTGAAAGAGAATAGGGGGTGAAAAAAAGCAAGGTTTCATTCAGTTTCAATGTGATGATTAACACATCAAACTTGTTATTGAATTTTCCTATCAATTCTTGTAACACGTGTGAAGCACCCGCTCCCTTAACTTCTGGATAAAGTTGGTTTCTAAATTTTAAGTTTTCAACATCTTGGAATACAATGCCGCTTCACAGGGTACCATTCGGATTAAGATGATATGCCACGATTGGTGATCGAAAACAAAATGGCTCTGAAACCTTCAGGCTGCTCATTGTACCACAGATTGGGGATGGGATAGAGAAAGGTTTGAACACATGCAGCAGCAAATCTTTAGGATAAATGTTAAAAGTCTAATGTTTCATAACAAATCAATTAGACCTGTCAGCGTGATTCAGTCAGGAGCACTCTCGTCACTGAGTCAGAAGGTTGTGATTCAAACCCTGTGTTGAGGCTCTGAACTCACGAACTAGGCTGACACTCTGATGAAGTGCTTTGTTGGAGGTGCCATCTTTCTGATGAGTTGTTAAAACAAGATCCCGTCTGTCTGTTCAATATCCCGTCTGTCTGTTAAAGTTCCCATCAAAAGTGAATTTGAAGTGAATTTCTCCTGGTATCTGGCCAAAAATCCTATAAATAAAATTGGTTATTAAGTTTATGTTTGTGGGACATTGCTGGGCACAAATTGGCTGCTGTATTTGCCTATAAAAAGTGTCATCACATTTGACAGTATAATCCTGTGAAGTGCTTTGAGACATGATAATGCACTATATTGAATGTAAGGATTATGATTATCCTAACATACTGTAGGGTTAATATGAAATTGTTCTCTTACTACAGCATTCGTGATTAGGTTTAGCTTTGCAGTATGTGAACTGAAAACGTTGCCTTACTGGCAGTCTCGGTTTTAATATTGGGTTTGGAATTGTACTGCTGATGGTTGTGCTGCCCCTTATGTTAGTAAGACAGTATGATCTTTTTAGTAATATTTATTGTGCCCTATAAAACTACATCTGCTTCTTGTGGTTTAGTGGAACTGAAGCATTTAGGAGAATTGGAGTGAAGTCTGCAACTGTGCAAGTCAAGACATTAAACATTTCCTAAAATGAATAACATTTCACCGAGTTTTTTGTGCATGTTTGGTGCAGCTGTATTAATCAATCATTCAATCAAGTTGAACCTAAGGGTAAATTTGAGCCTGGGAATCATGTGGGAAACTGTAAACCTGGAAGATTCTGAATTGCTGAGATGCTTTTCAGGGTTGCAAGCGTAACTTCCTTGCATCATACAGCACAAGCACAAGATCACTAAAATGGTCTGGATCAACAACAACAAGAACTTGCATTTATATAGCACTCCTCACAGGGTAGCGTTCCAGAGCGTCCTTCGGACCATCTGATCTTATCCCTACAAAACGCACACCCTACTGTTCCCCCCCCCACCACCCCATCACAGCATCAAGCTACTTTTTAGCGTTCCTGGCTTCTACCAACCTGTTCCGGTCATTGATTTACTCTATGCGTAAAGAAAACAATTCTGGTAACTTCTGAATAATGTCAAATCCTTCTCCCTTGCCAATACATTTTATATTATTCCTTATCAAATACAAACAGCAGTATTTATAGTAAATGACGGAAATTATAATAATTGATTAAGATTTATATATTTTACAGGAGTTATTTTGGTATTAAGGTATTTACTCATTATATTCAAGGCCTTACTTTTCCAAAATAACAATTAATAATCATTTTGTTTGGTATAGCGCCGTCAGGAGTATGTCCCAAAGTACTTCACAGGATACACTGTAAAGTGCAGTGACTGTGTGTTTTGTCGGCGAATGCACAACCATTTTGTGCAGAGCAATGTTCCACAAACGTGAGGAGAATGGCCAATTTTATTTGGGAGGTTGGTTGCCAGACACCAGGAGACGCTCCCTTCTCTTCAAATAGTGCCATAGGATCTTTAACGTCCACCTGAACAGGCAGATGGGACACGATTTAGTGTCTCATTTGAAGGACGGTCAGCTTAGTACTACTTGAGTTCGAAGTCCTGACATGGGGCTTGAACCCACAATCTTCTGACACCAAGGCAAGAATATTACCAACTGAAAATAAAATGTCTTACATTTAACAACTTCACAACTTAACTTCACCTACAATCTAACGGCTGTTAGTTTGAAGTATGCACCTACCTGAAGAATGCTTGAATTTAAAGTGTTCTTCAAATGAAAAGATTCAAATTATTAGAGTAATAATCCTGGCATTTGATATAGCGTCTTATCACGTTATCGAAATGTTTCAAAGCGTTTCACGGAATATATTGTGAAGTGGAGTGACTGTGTATTTTGTGAGCTTAATATTTATGGTGTGGAAATGACACTCCTGTCTCTACTCCATGTGATGAATTGGCTTCATAGGAACAGGAGGGCATCATTCAGCCTGTCAAACTGGTTCAGTCAGTTTATTCAAATTTTGGCAGAACTTTAAATTCCATTTCCCCATCTTTTCCCCAAACCCATCTATATCCTTACTTGTGAGTATCCGTCCCAATCGTTTCTCACCGTCACTAAATTCCGCACCCTGATTACTCCAGTCCTTGCCAAACGTTACTGGCTCCCTGTCACAGAGCAGATCGACTTCATGATCCTCACTCTAGTGTTTAAATCCCTCCACACCTTGGCTTGCCCCCACCCCCCATCTCTCCAACCACCTCTCTCCTCACAGCACTACCTGCTGCCTCTACTCTGCTGGCTACGGCCTCCTTTTCCCTCGAATCTTCCGCTCCACCATCGGCGGTCGTGCCTTCAGCCACTATGCTCTGAAGCTATGGAAATCTCTCCCTCAATCCCTTCCCCTCACCCCCTCCTTCCCCATTTTCAGGTTGGGTCTGAAGACCTTCCTCTTCGACTGTGCCTATGGTCACCTTCCCCCTCCCCCCTTCCCCCTCCACCATTGTTAAGCCCTCTGGGCCGCCGCCTGGCAGGAGGGCGCTATATAAATGCAAGTGTTGTAATAATAATAATCCTTGCATTTGATATAGCGATTTTCATGCCTTCTAGGCATCTCAAAGCGCTTCACAGAATATGCTATAAAGTGAATTGACCATATATTTTTTGGCAAAACGCAGCAGCCAATTGCGTACAGTGTCCCACAAACATTTGTGGATTAAAAATAACCAATTTGTTATTTTGGAGGGATTTTTATTAGCCGTGTGGAGTAAGTAAACTTACCCAAGGTTTCGCCCTGCCTTGTGTGGTGCACATCCACAGATATGAAAAGACATCAAGGGACCATGTTATAAGGAGGCACATGGTCAAGATGTTTGCCTTGACGTTACTTCCTGCCCAGGAAATGAAGTTAAGAACAACCATCTTTACTTGCTTCTACCTTACAATCCGATTTACTACAGCACCTGCCATTCTTAGCACATATGCTTCTGCACCTCAACATCTAGCCATTCCAAATTCTTCTTTCGCACATGTATAAAGTCTACTTTGAGCGAAAAATGGTTCCCATGGACACGCAGACACACATACAGAGAATCCTGAGTGAGCACAAGGGACGAATGTACAAGAGACAGTGTAAGAGTGCGAGTGGATGAAGTAATAGATAGAGGAAAGGAGAAAAGAATGTTCGTGAGAGAGAAGAGTGAATTACATACAGGGAGATGTAAGAGAAACAGAAAGAGTCTCAGTGAAAGCGGAAAAAAAAGAGGAAAGACATTTGTTGCTAAGTACTTACCTCCATATTAATCATCCCATTTGATTCTGCCACTACAGCCACCTGGAGCATTTGATTCCATATTTTCACATCATTTTGTTTGAAGAAATATTTTCTGATCTCACACTTAACAATCCTAGATCCCACTCAATCCCATTGTGTTCCCATGTTTTGGATGCCACCATCAGAGTAACAGAAGAGTTGTCATCTCTCTTATCTTGTCGATTCTGTTCATTATTGGGCAACATTCCTTACTCCACATGTCTCTGTTTACCCAGCAGTAAGTGGGAACCCAGCTATTAGTCGATTGACGGATTGCTTTCCTGGGGGTAATAATCCCTTCCAAAAAATTAATAAATAAATACTAACAATTTGGTTACTCAATCCACGACTGTTTGTTGGACAGTGATATGTGCAATTGGCTGCTGCGTTTCGCCCACAAAATTTAATCAATCCACTTTCCAATATATTCTGTGAAGCGCTTTGAGATGTCTCAAAGACATGATAAGGCACTATATCAAATGTGGGTATTATTATTATTTTAAACGCCCAGGTCAAATTACAACCAAACCCCTTTGGCTCTAAGGAATATAACATTGTAAATTCTGCTGTCTAAAGATGGGAGCAGCTCAAATCGTGTTTTCTTCAGGATAAACTTCAAGAACTAGCATTGATACAGTGCCTTCGTCCACATTGCATCACGGAAGGCTGATGCTGAGCCGAAAAGTGGGTGGGGGGAGGGAATTGTGGCCAAAAAACCAAATAGTGGTTGAAGAGGAAAGTCTTGTCAGGTGGGATTTGTGAAGTCATGTAGCTCAGTGGTTAGAGCACTCGCTTTGCAAGCGAGACACCTGGGTTCAATTCCAGGCAGGGCAAAACCTTGGGCAAGTTTCCTTACTCCACACCCCTAATAATAATCCCTCCAAAAAACAAAACAGTAATAAATTGGTCATTTTCAATCCAAGACTGTTTGTGGGCCACTGCTGTGCGCAATTGGCTGCGTTTCGCCCACAAATATGCAGTTAATTCACTTTACAGTATATTCTGTGAAGCGCTCTGAGACTTCGAGAGGACATGAAAAAGCGCTATATCAAATCCAAGGATTATATTATTTGCCAATGAGAAGAGAGGGGGCCAAGACAGAGGGATTGAGGCAAGGAGTTCCAGAGAATCGGGGCATAATGGCTGAAAGGACGGCCACCAATTCTGTACCGGAGGGGACAAGGGACGTACAGCTGACCCATGCTAACTCAGCTAAGTTGGAGCATAGAGGAATGGGGTGCAAAGTTAGGGAGATGCTAGGGCATGAAGAGATTTGAAAGTGAGTATGAAGATCTTGAAATCAACTGCAACAGGGAGGCAGTGGAGCCTTGCAAGAATTGGGGCAGTGGGAATGTGGAGACTGGTACTGGTGAGGACACGGGTGGCAGAGGTCTGAATCATTTGAACCTTGTGGAGCTGGGGAGACTGGCAAGGGGTGCATTGGAACAATCAAGACGGGAGGTGATGAAAGCTTGAATGCCAATTTCAGCAGCATTTGAAGTGAAATAGGCATGAAAGTGGGCAACGTGGCGGGGGTGGAGGAAAGCAGTTCTGGTCAAGGACCGGATGTGGGACAGAATGCATAACTGGAGATGTAGAGCCTGATGCCAAGGTAAAGATGGTTTAGCTGATATGATGTTTCCCCTCTCTAACAGCAAATGAAGAAGCACCCATGCCGTCAGTGTGAAAAATCCTTCAGCTCTTCGCACAGTCTGTGCAGGCACAATCGCATCAAACATAAAGGCATCCGGAAGGTCTATACATGCTGGTAAGTAATGTCGCAACCAGCGCAGTATTAAACCCTGATTTTCAGTGGTAATTATTTACTTTACAGTATCTTGCGTACAGTCAGTGTTGTTGGATGGGGGGCGAAGGGCATTTGTAAGCTGTACTTTCATTACTGAAAATGCACTGCAGGGAGGATAAACAACAACAAAGTTACATTTGTAGAGTCCTGTAGCTCAGTGGTTAGAGCACTCGCTTTGCAAGTGAGAGACCCGAGTTCAATTCCAGACAGGGCGAAACCTTGGGCAAGTTTCCTTACTCCACACGCCTAATAATAATCCCTTCAAAAAACAAAACAATAATAAATTGGTCATTTTCAATCTACGACTGTTTGTGGGACATTGCTGTGCGCAATTGGCTGCCGCGTTCATTTTACAGTGTGTTCTGTGAAGCGCTTTGGGACGTCCTCCCGACGTGAAAAGCGCTATATCAAATGCAAGGATTATTATTATTATTATTATTATAGAGCATCTTGGGATGACCTTCCAACATGAAAGATGCTGGACAATCAAGGAGTTGCAATAATTGTTCCTCTGAGGTAGTGAAACAGGAACAGGCAGCGGCGACCTTGGTTTAGCTTCTCACCTGAAGGACGCCAACTCCAACAATGTAGCATTGTCCTCAGCACTGCTTTGAAGTGTTGGCTGAGACTGGGTTCAAAGTCCCCGAAGTGGGGCTTGAACCTGCAATTTCTTGATTCAGAGTCAAGCCGACCATCAGCTGAGCCAGGCTGACAGCAACGCCCTTCGTGTACAATAATGTCTTTGAGTGTTTCACAAAGATTGGGTCAGATTCAAACAAGGGGCAGGGAGAGGTGACCATAGACGCAGTCGAAGAAGTAGGTTTCTATGCTAGATTTAAAGTCGGAGAGAGGGCAAGGTAGACGGGGTAAGGGAGGGATATCCATCCATTGGAGGCATGTTTGCTGAAACTAATCGACTGTGTCGTATATTTCTACAGTCTCCATAGAATATGTTAACTCAACTGTGTAATGCTTACAAAATATACAGTCACTACACTTCACAGTATATCCTGTGAAGAGCTTTGAGATGTCCGCCTGAGGTGAAAGACGCAATATCAAATGTAAGGATCATTATTGTCCATAATTATTCTGCTAATAATTTAGTTATCTTCCCACAGCGGGAACAACTATGTTTTATATCAAACTAATTTTTTATTTCCTTTTTGAAATATTTTAAACTCATTGACCAGAGGGAAACAAAGTAAGAGAGCTCAATTAGCCATGAATAATAGATGGTTTGTTCTTTAGAGGCATTGATGCAGTGTATTCTGGATCTTGATGGATTATTTAAATACAATTTCCACCGTTCAAATTCCGAGAACGAGTGTCCCTTTTGACTTCTAAAGGCCAGACTTCAGAACCATCAAAAAAAATCAAATGTTCTCAACAATTTTAATATATTCCAAATCACTGATCAATGACCATCATTGTGTTATTGTGAAACATTTAGCCTGACTGCTGCAATCTGTCCTTTTAAGAGAGCCGTAATAATAATAATAATAATCCTTGCATTTTATACAGCAACCTTCACGTCAGGAGGATGTCCCAAGGCGCTTCTAAATTAAGGCTGAATTTAAATTTTTCCAAAAACCTGCTTAATCTTCAATCTTAAAGTATTGCTCTTAAGGCTTAAAGCAGTGAGAATTTTGCACATCCTAAACCTACCAATGGCAGCCAAACTTAGTCACTTAACCCCCTGGAACTCTTCCCCAAATACTTCCTACCATCTCACACCCTCCTTTCCTGCTTTCAAAACTCTTCTAAAATCATCTTATTTTTGGTCAGCTAGGGGTCTGACCCATGCGGAAAACTATCACCGTGCTTAAGAGTATCCAACCCAAACTGAGAATTCCAGGCATTAAAGCGCTCTAGACTCTGCCCTCTGTGGAGGGAGCAATATAAGTGCAAGTTGTTGTTGTTGCAATTGGAAATTTCAGAGATAGATTGTTGGAATGGAATGTGCACTCTTTCCTTCGCGGGACACATGCTGCTTACTTAAGTCCGGAAAGTATTAGGCGCAAGTTGGCAGGAGCCGTGGCTTGGGGACCCTAGCTGGAGTCTAGCCAGCTAAAACCGCTTGCCATCAATGCCACTGTCTGGCAATCTTTCCCGTTGCTTGTCCAGCTAGGACCGTCCACCCTACCCGTTAAGGTTTTGGCTTGCAAGCTTAACAGGAGCTGAGTGGGAGGATTCCCTGCCCCTAGGTTTGCCATTCCAGGTCCTTTCGATGAGCCAGCCTGTCTGTGCTGTCATCAGCAGTGCCCAGGATTGCAATGGGTCTGCATCCTCCTACTCCCACCCGTTTCCACCCCCCAAACCCATTTCCCACCCTGCACGGGCTTCCACTCCATCTCTGTGGAGAACTCGTAGATATTATTCTGCATGAAAGGAGCTAAACAAGTGAAAGCTGTTGTCAAAACATTAGGCTTCCGAATTCTCTCTCTCCCATTGGCAAGGTTTCCCTATTTCTGTTCAGTGTGGAATTTGACCCTGAACTAAATCTGCAGTTTGACATCTTTTGGAAAATAATTGATATTTATTGCTTTCATATTTTAATCTATCTTCAATTGATTCTTGGTTAATTGGCCACTTGAAGACCAGGTGAAATGACCAGAGACTAACAGTGCAGGTTAAGCTGTGGATTTATCACATGGCCTATTTTAGTTAGTATGGATTGTATGTTTATGCAAAGCTACACATACTGTGTCCTTATTTAATTATTGAGAAGCTCTGATGTATTAAATAATTAAAAAATAGGAAATCCAGGGAGACCACCAAATGGACTACTGTATCAAAGTGAGCCTTCGGAACAGTTGATTCAGCCGGTTGTCGGCTTGGCTCAGTTGCAGCACTCTTTCATCTGAGTCAGAGAATGTGGGTTTGAGCTCCACATTGGGACTTTGAACTCACAGTGCAGGCTGGCACTCCAGTGCAATGCTGGGAATGTACTGCTTTTTTGGAGATGCCATCTTTCAGATAAGTTGTTAAAGCGAGGGATCGTTTGCCTGTCAAGTGGATATATTACTCGTGGCACTATTCGAAAAGAGAAGGGTTTTTCCCTGTGTCAGGACATCAATAACCCAAATAAAATGTGTTGTTCACTTCATGGCTATTTGTGGGACATTGCTGTGTGGAAATTGGCTGTCACGTTCACTTACAAATACTGTCACTTCAATCACAGCAAAATCCTGTGAAGTGCTTTGAGGTGACTTGATAATGTGATGAAAGGCGCTGTATCAAATGCAAGGATTATAATTATTCATCATTAAGATTACTAGACCTGTCTTGTAAATCATTCTTACTTTCAAGTCAAATGACTGCAAACAAGTTATTTGGCATTGACAGCAGTGATCAGTTTCTCATGCCATTATGTTTTTTATAACCTATTAAAAGTCGAAGTGTTGACATTTTGACAAGCTCGAAAAGTGGATGAATTATCAGCAACTATCTTCTTTCCCTATTTGAAGAGAAGGGAGTTTTTTTCCCTGGTGTCCTAGCCAATAATCCCACAGATAAAATTGGTCATTCACTTGGCTGTTTGTGGAACACTGCTGTGCACAAATCAGCTGCTGTATTTGCCTACACAGTCGCTACACTTTGCAGTAATTCCTGTGAAATGCTTTGAGGCGTCCTGACGCTAATAATAATAATAATCCTTTGATATAGCACTTTTCATGTCTTCTAGACATCTCAAAGCCCTTCACAAAATATACTGTAAAGTGAATTGACTGTATACCTCTGCAACGTCGCCCGGCTCCGCTATTGTCTCACACCACAGGCCATCGAAACCCTGGAGTTTGTGGAGTCCTGTAGCTCAGTGGTTAGAGCACTCGCTTTGCAAGCGAGAGACCTGAGTTCAATTCCAGGCAGAGGGCGAAACCTTGGGCAAGTTTCCTTACTCCACACAGAGCCTAATAATAATCCCTCCAAAAAAAAATAATAAATTGGTCATTTTCAATCTACGACTGTTTGTGGGACACTGCTGTGCGCAATTGGCTGCCGCGTTCGCCCACAAATATACAGTCAATTCACTTTACAGTATATTCTGTGAAGCGGTTTGGGACGTCTAGAAGACGTGAAAAGCGCTATATCAAATGCAAGGATTATTATTATTATTATACACGCTTTCATTATATCGAGGCTCGACTATGCTTGTCGGCCTCCCCAACTCCTCCCTCCACAGGCTGCAGATCATCCAACAACAACTTGGATATATAGAGCGCCCTTCACGCCAGACGGCATCTCAGAGCGCTTCACAGTAACGGATTCCGGGGCCGAGCCAGGGGGAGGGGGAGGCGGAGGAAGGTGACCAAAGACGTGGTCGAAAAGAAAGGTCTTCAGCCGAGACCCGAAAATAGGAAGAGAGGGAGCGAGGCGAAGGGAGTGAGGAAGGGAGTTCCAGAGCCTCGGGGCATAGTGGCTGAAGGCCCGGCCGCCGATGGTGGAGCGGAGCATCCAGAACTCTGCAGCCCGTGTCCTCTCACTCACCAGGCTCCGCGACCCTATCACCCCCATCCTCGCCCAACTCCACTGGCTTCCCATCACACAGAGGATACCGTTCAAGATCCTGGTCTTCACCTTCTCTTTGACCGAGCCTTCAGCTCCCCTCTCGACTCTCTTCCCCCTTCTCGCTCCCTCCCATCCCTCCCCTCACCCTGACCATTTCCCCCCTCCTCGCTCCCTCCCCTCCCCCTGACCATTTCCCCCCTCCTCGGGTCATGACCCAACTGTGCAGCGCCTTGGGACGTCCTCCTGACGTGAAAGGCGCTTTATAAATGGAATCTTGTTGTTGTTGTCTTGTTGTTCAAAGCCCTCCACTGTCTTGCTCCCGCTACCTCTGCGACCTCCTAACCCCCTACCATCCTGCTTACTCCCTCCGCTCAGCAAGCTCCGGCCTGCTTCACGTCCCCTGCCTCGGTCGCCGCACTATTGGCAGGCGGGCTTTTTGCCACTCTGCCTCTTCCCTCTGGAACTCCATCCTGAGGTCCCTCCGCCTCGCCCCCTCCCATTCCACCTTCAAGACCCTCCTCTTTGACCATGCTTTCGATCTCTCTGCCTTCCCCCCTGCCCTCCACCCTCCCAGACCCCCAGCTCGGGTCCGTAACTGTCTGTCCAGCACCTTGGGACGGCCTCCCGACGTGAAAGGCGTTTTACAAATGTAATTTTGTTGTATATTTGTGGGCGAAACGCGGCAGCCAATTGTGAGAGTCACAGTGCAAACAGTGGCAGAGGCTGACACCGAGCCGGAAAGAGAGGAGGTGACCAGAGGCAAAGTCAAAGAGGAAGGCAGTCAAATGCAATCTGAAGACGGGGAGGGGGGAGGCAAGGCGGAGGAATTAAGGCAGCGAGTTCTAGAGTTTCAGGGCACAGTGGCTGGAGGGGAACAGGGAGGCTGGAGCCAGCTAAATGAAGAGGCCGGTCCTAGAGTGGGCTGTAAGTAGGTCAGAGAGTTAGGGAGGTGCTAGGGTGTGAATTGATTGATTGTAAGTAAGAAACAATTTTTAAATCGATCCATTCTGCAACAAGGAGCCAGTGGAGCATGGCAAGGATTAGTGCATGGTTCATTGGGAGTGTGTTCACTGCCAATAAACTGAACCACCTTAGTCCTGTCTATAACATCCTGCGAAGCACTTTGAAACACCTTGACAATGTGATAATGCGCTATATCAAATATAAGGTTATTATGATTTTTATCTTAATATTTTGAAGTTGTTTGTGGGGCATTGCTGTGCACAATTGAGCTGCTGCGATTCCCTATAAATACAAACTACACTTTATAGAATTATCCTGCACTTTTTGAATTTTCTGAATGCAAGAATCATTCTTATTACTACTGTTATTGTAGTCCTCAGGTTAAGGAGGGAAATTTGTCCAGAAATTGGCAATGAATCATTCAGTGAGTGCTCACGTGTACATGGAATCCTGTAGTGTAGTGGTTACTGCGCTCGCCTCGCAAGGGAGAGGACCCGGTTCGATTCCCGGACGGAGCAAAACCTAGGCAAGTTTCCTTACACCACACGCCTCTATTTATCTAGCAGTAAGTAGGAAACCAGTTGTTAGCTGATTGGCGGATCGTTTTCCGGGGGTAATAATTCCTCACCCTCCCAAAAAGTGGGACACTGCTGTGCGTAATTAACTGCCATTTTCTGTCCACAAAATATGCAGTCAATTCACTTTACAATATGTTCTATGAAGCGCTTTGAGGCGCCTCAATGACGTGATAAGGCGCCATATCCAATGCAAGGATTATTATTATGATATTCTGTTTCTCCTAGGAATTGCCCAGATTCGAAACGCACATTCACCAAAAGGTTTATGCTGGAGAAACATATACGTCTCATGCACGGCATTAAAAACCCTGACCTGTCCCAGATGACAGAGGCAACAACCATAGTGGAGTCCCCTAAGGAAGAGAATGTGGTGAGTAGAATTGTTTTATCCTGGGATACACACTTTTCTTACTAGTGCTGTTAGGCTCACTGCTTAGACGCAGGGTCGGGGAATATCCAGAGTGGTGGTGGTGGGGTGGGGGGGGGGGCGGAAAGCCTGACAGCCTGACCACTGATGGTGAGTCGGTTAGGCCAGAGGATGTCTGCTGAGCGAAGGTAGGGTTTGAGGATGTTGAAACAAACCACCAAATGTAAATTGAAGGCACCAGCAGTTCTGAATTGACAAGTGGCAGTGCTGCTTCGGACACTTCAGCGATGTGATAAGGCACTATATCAAATGCAAGGTTATATTTCTCGTTGCTCGGAATTGGGAGCGAGCGTGATGGTTTGTGCTACTTGGAGCTTTGCTGTCTCTTTCAGATGTCATCGCCGCCAAAGAGGAAGCTGGAGGACACTGTGATGGAGATCAGGAGTCCTGCCCGAGGAGCCATCACGCAACCGTTAAAGAAGCTGAAAATCAATGTCATCAAGCTGAACAAGTGCGCCGTGTGTGGCTTTACCACAGAGAACGTGACTCAGTTCCAAGACCACCTCCCGCAGCACAAAACTGACGGCTCCACGTGCCAGTGCAGGGAGTGCGGGCTGTGCTACACCTCGCTGCAGTCTCTCACCCGGCACCTGTTCATCGTGCACAAGATGAAGAATGCCCAGCAGGTGGCCCGGCAGAACGGGGCCAGGGAGGACAGCGCGGCCGACAGCAAAGCCACCTCGGAAGACAGCCAGGAGGAGGGCATGCTGACGGACAAAAAGTGTAAAGTCTGTTCCAAGACATTTGAAAGCGAAGCTGCCTTGAACACACACATGCGGACACATGGAATGGCCTTCATAAAGTCCAAGCGTTTGTGCGCGACGGAGAAATGAGGAGCGTTCTCGCCACTCGGACGCCCGCATTTTTCTAATAGGTGGGTTGGGGGTGGAGGGGGGGTCAGGGGAAGGGGGAGAATACGCTCCCGCCACTCCCCGCCCGCCCAGAAAGGGCCACTCCCTGCAGGGGTGAACACTCGGCCTGGTGTCGCTGTCACACGTTCCATAAGGACCCTCTCGGAACCATCTGGAAATGCTGATCCTGGGCAGCCGCGTAGCTAACCCCGTGGCGGTCTCATGTCTAAATCCACAGTCGGTTGATTTGGGGAAAAAAAGGAAGAAACTCGACACTTTTTAAGAAGTATACATTTTTGTACTGTTGCAATACATCCTTTTACTCACTCTGTACTTTTTATGCCACCAAACAAGTTCTCTCTTGTGGTTCCCACAAAGCTTGTGCAATTTGGTCACCATTCAGTGAATTTGATCTCTCGGGCACTAAGGAACTAATGGCATTCACTAAAGGCGTTATTTCAAAGAAAAACTCACGTACACACAAAACAGAGGAGAGGGGAGTCAAGTCTCACATAAACAGTATTTTGCTCGTGTCTAGTTCGGTTGAAACTCTTTTGGCCAAATCTTCAGTGTTTTTTTTAAATGAATTGAAAATGTGTTTCTAATGGACCAAATTAAGCAGGGCTGTATCACATTGTCATGTTATTTTGAAAACCCTGGTTTAGTCGCTCAAAAAGGTATAATATGCAGAAGGGAAACAGAAAAAAATCAGGAAAATAACCCTCACATGAGCTTGTGTTTCCATATATAATGTGAGCACATTACAGCCCAGGTACTGTGAATGTTCTATTTGTGAGCAGGTTTATTATCAATTACTTTTTTTCCGCATCTTGGATCAGTTGGTCAGTGTTATTTTCCTAATAAGTATTTACAAGAGAGAGATTACTTGAGCGCGTGTGTGTGTGTGTGTGCAAGAGCAAGCGATTGTCATTTTTGTTTGGTTTCGAAGTATGAGTGAGTGAGCGAGCGAGCACTTAGCGATGAGTTGTTTAAAGGCAAGCTCCTATTTAAATAGCAATGTTACTGTTGTGTGAACAGGACGATTGAAATCTTACAGACTGACTTTGCAGACAGAGAGCACTGGTCCTTTCGATTTGGGTCCTTGATCATTTTAGAAATCTAGCTGCTCTTTTATCCAGTGGTTGGAACCTCCCCTCCACCCCTCTTGCAATAACACATATGAGACTTTGTCTTGCCACATGTTCTTGATACACTTATCACTGTTTTGATGAAGTGCCCCCTTCTCTCCTCTCCTTGCCTCTGTTCCTTGCCCTTAGTTTTTCTTCCAGTTTATTCACCTGACGTCATCGATTGGTTGGTCTGTGCTTAGAGTTACTGGTGCATTATCTAATGTCCAGGAGAATCCTTTAGACCCAGAAATTCTAATGGTCTTAGGCTTAAGACAAATGTACAACATTTTAGGAAAGTTTTAAAGATGGGAATTTCACCTTAAGGCTGAATTTCTGATTTTCAAATGCTGCGCAATTTTAAGTGTTTAGGACAGAACGTCAATCCACTTTGTAAAAGTTTGCAGTGCTTATTCCCTACCACTAGGAGGGCTCACTTAGCACTATTGTGGCACCCAGTGGTGTTGCTTAGCAAATGCAGGTAAAAGTGATAATAATAATAATCCTTGCATTTGATATAGCGCCTTATCACGTTTTGAGACATCTCAAAGCGCTTCACTGTGAAGTGAATTGACTGTAAGCTTTGTGGGCTATTAACCTGTCGAAGAAATAGGGGTGAGGGCGGTTTGAAAAGCATGACAAAACAGGTTGGCGTAAGTAAAAGTGTCTTCTAAGGCAATGGGTTATGCTGAATAATAGTCCTGCAAGGTTATTTTTTTTCTTTAATTTCATCTACGTTTCTGATGGGGTACTGGTTAGCGACGAAAAGTGGTGAACAGTTTCTTCCACATTATGGTTGAATCCCGTTAAGATCGATAGGGTCAAAGTCCACACCATGTTTGTGGAGGGTTTCAACAAAAACAACAACAAAATTACATTTATAGAGCACCTTTCATGTCGGGAGGATGTCCCAAGGCACTGGACAGTCGGATCAGGACCAGAGCATGGGTGAGGGACGGCAGAGAGGTGGGAGGGTGACTGAAGGCACGATCAAAGAGGAGGGTCTTGAGACCGGCCTTGAAAGAGACAAGAGAGGAAGCGAGGCAAAGATACTGTGGGATGGAGTTCCAGAGTGTGGGGGAAGAGAGGCTGAAAGTCCGGCCACCGATGGTAGGGTGAGTCAGGCAGGAGACATGGAGCAGGCCGGAGCCCGATGAACGGAGGGAGCGGGCAGGTTGGTAGGGAGTCAGCAGGTCAGAGAGGTAGGAGGGGGTAAGGCCATGGATGGCCTTGAAAGTGAGGACGAGGATCTTGAATTCGATCCTCCGAGGGATGGGGACTCAGTGGAGTCGGGTGAGGGTGGGAGTGATGGGGTCACGGAGCCTGGTGCGTGAGATTACAGGAGCTGCAGAGTATTGGATGATCTGCAGCTTGTGAATTTCTCAACCCAGAAATTCCTGGGGCTGAACCACTGCTCTTTACACACTCGAGGACATATGGGATGCTGGTGTGGAAAATAGAGGGAGGTGGTCCTTTGGAGGCTGGAGAAGTTAATTTATAGGCAGATTTGCTCTGATCTAATCCATTGCCATGCCTGACCTGGGACTGCAGCCCCTGACAACTCGGTACATAGAAAGTTCTGTTCCAAAGCAGTGAAATTCTCTCATCTTGATGAGCATCACTTTACTGCAGATTGTTTTTCTCTGGCGGGGTGGGGCAAGAGAAACAAAAACCTGAGTGTGATAATACAGTCACCATTGCAGCAACCACATCTCAAGGCTTAGCAGGACATTGACACCACAGACAGTTTCAGAGGAGGCTCTTCAAAGAACGTAGCCTACCTGATGTGTCAACGCCTGCTTTTAAGTAGATTTAAGGTTTTCCCCCATACAGTCATTGTGATTGGCCTCTAAGCTCACAGTCAAACTCTTCCAGCACCTTGGAAGGTGAAAGGCGCTATACAAATGTAATTTGTTGTTGTTGAGACAGAGAAGGAATTTAAGATTCCATGCCTCTCTCGTGAAGTCTAAAAACAGTGGATGCTTTAAGTTGAGATTCTTCCCAAACCTTCCCCCACCCCCCCCAATTCTGCACATCCGTACATTTTAGTTTTCGCAGCATCTGGACACAGAAGGAAACAAGATGAGAATCAAGATGTAATTCCACAGTTGAGCTGGGACTGTGCACAGGGCAGCTGTGCTTACCCACTGGTACTGTTATATCAGCCAGGGATATCATGTGGGACGTTTAATTGTTACGGGGTGCGCACTACACTACATTCTCTTTAAATTCTAATGATAACGGTAAAGCTACATTCTTTGAAGCGCGAGGATTTTTTTGTACACGATACGTGAAGATTTATATTTTTGTATTTTTTTCGTCGTCAATTATGGTACAACCGGAAATGTTTTTAACTCTTTAAACAAAAAGTATCGGCGGGGTCGGGGTGCCCCGAGTTCACTCCCTGCTTTTACTCGATGCAGATTGAGCAGATTGGTTTATATAGCTGGTTTGGAGCTGGTTTATATAGAGCAGAGCTCCCACTCGCACATCATGCCCCACTCACTCCTCTGTTCCCTTGGTTGCAGCACCGACCAAAGTAAGCCCGTTGCCCCATCGTTCGTTTGAACCGCCGGATCGCAATTTCGCCTGTCATCTGAAGGTCCCATGAAAGATCATTACCCAGGAGCTTGGACAACAGTGGGGAACTTTCCTTCGCTGCTGATGTTCTGAATTCACTGATATCCTGAATTGACTGACACCCTTCGTCCCCCATCCCTCCACCCCCCCCCCCCACCACCACAAACACCTAATGATGAGGGTTGTTTTCATGAACTGATAGTACCTTAGGGTATGGGACGGGAGGAACCAGGGCGCGAGTGACAAATAATGACGTAACATGAATTTGCAGTAGGACTGGTCACACTCCAAACAGAGCCAACTCCGGACATGATGATGTATTTTAAAAGCAGGTTGATGTGATCTCGGCACCAAGGCCTCAATTGACAGAAAATCATGATACAGGATTAAAAAAAAAACCACAAACGCTCTTCTGTCTTCTGTTGTGAATTCCTCCCAATGTAAGTCTAAGCTTCAACTCATAATTTTTTTGAGGCTTTTATATCTTGTGTGTTTAGTTCAATACAAATTTTGTACTTTTTTAAACTGATTTTTTTTTTGGTGTAGAACTTTACAAATGGCATGGAGAAATGTAGCCATCGTCTTGTTTATGTTCCTCTAGGGCGTGTCTTGCTGCTGTTGTTGATAGTGAAGTATGTCAGCTGTAATCTCATCGAGAGTTTAAACATTTAATAAATGTTTAAAAAGTATTTNAAAAAAATTCCGAGTGCAAACAGCTCTCNTTTTTTTAACTCTTAAATAATGAGAAGAATCCTTGCATTTGATATCACGTCATCGAATCGTCTGAAAGTGCTTCCCAGAATATACTGTGAAGTGGATTGAGTGACCAAATTATTATTATTTGTTTGTTTTTAAAGGGTTTGTTACACCGGAAACGATCAGCCAATTGATTTAAAAAACGGGTTCCTACTTACCTTATCCCGGAGTCCCTTCCCGTCACCCCCTCCCTTGCCGCCTTCAAAGCAACACCTTCCTCTTTGACCGTGACTTCTGTCCACCTCCACCCCCCCCCCCTTGATTCCAACCCCTGGTATGGGTGTAAACTCTTCACTGTCCTCAGCCTTGGGACGTTCTCCTGAGATGTGAAAGCTATAAAGTTATATAAATGCAATTTGTTGTTGTTTTTGTTCCACGGCACAGTTTTGAATTTCGTAAGGATTTTATTTTTAATTGAGTTCATTGAAACAAAACCCAGAAACACTGCTGATGGCACCAGACACCACCTCAGCCCAGCCCCTACAGTTAGCACTTTTGTATAGCGACTTCTTCCAGATAACGGAAGGAGCGGTCAGCTGGCCTTGATTTAACGTCATAATAATGATCCTTATGTTGGGTATATAGCACTTTTCACATCAGGAGGGTGTCCCAAAGCACAGGTTATACCATAAAGTGGATTAACTGTGTTTGTGGGTGAACGAGGCAGCCAATTGCGCACAGCAAAGTCCCACAAACAACCATGAAGTGAGTGGACTATTTTATTTGGGGATTATTGGCCACAACACTGGGAGAAACTCCCTGCTCTTACTCAACAACAACAACAACTTGTATTTATATAGCGCCCTCCCAGCCGGACGGCGTCTCAGAGCGCTTCACAGTAACGGATCCCGGGGCCGAGCCAGGGATCCATTGCTGTGAAGTGCTCTCAATAGTGAAGCACTACTCAATAGTGCCATGGGATCTTTAGCATCTACCTGAACAGGCAAATAGAGCCTTGGGTTAACGTCTCATCCGAAGGACCTAATTCTGATAATATAGAGTTCCTTCCCCCCCACACACCCCCTCCCCCAGCACTGCAATGGAGTGCCGACCTAGACTATCAGTTTAAAGGTTTTCTTCACTTTTTCAAAAGGGAAACTGGCTTCCAAATGATGATCAAAACGCAAAATACTAGATGCTGTAAATCTGAAACAAAAGCAGAAGTTGCTGGGAGCACTCAGCGGGTCAGGCAGCATCTATGGAGAAAGGAAAGTGAATCAACATTTCGGGTCCACGACACTTTGTCAGAACTTTTTTTTGGAAGACATTAGGACCAGAAAGGGCAAGATAGTGAGAAATCATCCAAATGATTATTCCTGTGCAGTATTCATTCCAATACACAGGAAATTTCCACATGTAGATGGGATGCACAGAATTCTTTCTGGTTTAAACATGGCGATTGGTTTCCGCATGTGTCAGCCAGACAATCTAGTGATCATACAAAATGATGACTGAATTTAAGAATATTCCAAAATATGGCAACCCGGTTGTTAGGTGATTAGGGGAATCACTTTTCGGGGGAAATAATCCCTTCAAAAAAAATAAATAATTTGGTCACTCAATCCACTACTGTTTGTGGGAGACTGCTATGCACAATTGGCTGCTGTGTTTCTCTCACAAAATACAGTGAATCCACTTTACAATATGCTCTGTGAAGTGCTTTGAGACATCTCGAATGATATCATGATAAGGCTTCACATGCAAGGATTATTATTATTTTAAAGGCGAGATCGGGGTTTAAAGGTTCTTCTGCTGCTGCAGTTACTCTCCCACCCACCGAGCCAACTTCTCAAATCACTCCTCTCAATAGATTCATTAAAACAAAGATTCATAGGAAAGTCATTGAACAGAAGGAGGTTGTTAAGCTCATTGTGTCTGTGCTCGTGCTCACTCCCCCGCTGGTAGCTTTACAGAATTATAATAAATTACAGTGGTAGAAAGAGCCAATTGGACGCATTGAGTCTGCATTGATGATACCTCCTCAGACGGAACTTTTCCTTCTGATCCCAATATGCTGCTTTTTCTTCTAAGCCCTTTTTGGAAGTTTGTCGGAAGCAGTAGGCACTGTGAGTACTGCTGAATTTTAACCAGTAAAAATTGTGCAACTTACCATAGCGTATTCTCTACCTCCCGGAGGGCCACATCTCACTCATCTAATTCTGGAGAGTATTAGCCACGGGTTGGCAAGAGTCAA